GGGGTAGGGGTAGAGGGGTAGGGGTAGGGGTGGGTCGTCGTCCGCTGATAATTAAGTTCATTTTACATTGTACGAGAGTGTCTCAAATGAAGTTTCGCGTTTTCTGTTATTCACGGTTCACTTTGTACTTCTGTTTTCTACATTGCTCTTCTACATTCCGCATATGTCCATCTGGTTTTTGCTTTTCTCATATGCAGTCCTCGATGCTCTTTCCCCTGAATGTTCTTTTTAATTTCTTTCTTCCTTTACGTTTTTTGTTTATTGCTATCCTGGCTTTTTAAAAATTTTTTTTGTTTGCCTTTTTGTCCTGTCGTTTTTCGCTTATTTCGTATTTTTCGTTTCTGAAATGAAATGCCAGTGCATGAAAATCGAGCATTGATCAATCGTTTTTGCGTTGTTCAGATTTCTAACTCCAATGGGTTATCAGACATGTGGTATGTCGACGTTAGCTTTGGCTTGTTTTTAACATGCATGTGTAGGTGTCGCAAGACTCAACTACCCATGCTTGTTCGAGGCGACTGCTGAAGATAGTAGGGAGTTTACAAAACTACGACGACAACGGCGACGGGAACGTCACTGAACAAAAGAATTAATGAGTAGAACAATGGCTGTGCACGTGCGTTACAATTCTTGGTACATTTCTTTGCCGTCCTCTGCAAGACAACGACGTGAAATGACTAAAATTTGCGTTGTCTGGAGGACGTGAACCAAGATGGCTAATTTTTAAAGTTTTTATTTCAAATTTATCGCTGTNTGCCGTCCTCTGCAAGACAACGACGTGAAATGACTAAAATTTGCGTTGTCTGGAGGACGTGAACCAAGATGGCTAATTTTTAAAGTTTTTATTTCAAATTTATCGCTGTGTTCCGGATTTCGTTTTGCGATAGTTTTGACAGTGATAAACAAAGTAAATGACTTTAGAGTATCGCGAGACTCGTAGGTAAAATATAAATTCATTTTTTAATCGACGTTGTCCTCGGCGTCGCCGTCGTGCTTTCGTAAACTCCCTAGTAATTGCTACACGCATTAATCAGTATCACGCCCTGAATTAACAATGGAAATTAAAATCATTTTGTTAACTTATTGTACTGGTACTAAAAGGCACAGTTGTTGTACCAACAACTTCCAATACTCCGTGAAAAACTTTACTCTTTACACTTTCGCAATTTTGATGTGCGTTTTTTGTTTTAACAATCGTGCGGATCGAGCGGCATTCAAAAGGGGTGCAAGGGGTCTAAAATGAGAGGTGTTAAAAGGTTTATGATCAAAACACTAGTCTACCAGGTTTGACTTTAAACTTCGACTCTGTACTTCAACGAGTACAACTGAAAAAAGTTATCATTATACGACTCCAGGCTTTTTCCTGTACTACCAAGGTCACCAATCCACAAGAAAAGTCACAGAAAAGTCATGAAAAGACATCTTGAGACTTCCACTTTCCTGGCTAAGTTTTTCTTCTTTTACGGTTAGCACTTTTTACGTCTAACAGTTAATTTTTTCGGCCTGTTTTAAGACTAACGGCTATCCTCGCAAATACCATGTGCGTTTTACATGCAGGAAGAAGATTGTTAACAAGCTCCTGTTTATTGGAAAGTGTGTAGGTTCTTTTGCAGAATGTGCAAAACAGTACAATTTCAACAAAATTTTTAGTGGTATACTGATTGTAGAGTCTGCATAGTAGGGTATGGGTTTGCGATAATGAAAAAAAATGTTTTGAATGGTTGTAATGTTAGGTCGATAGATACAAGAGACACGTTCATCATTAGTCAGGCGTAAACGGCTTGGTTTAATAACTATACCCTTTTAACCTCTAAATTTAAATGTTTGCAAGCTCTGCCAAGAAGGGCCAGATGAAGAATTGTTTGGGAAATTTTTTGTGGATGAAAGCAGTGGTTTTTCAGTGCACCAGTATTGCATGGTAAGAGGTCATAACAATACACTATTAATAATAATTCTTTCTTTAGCCTTGGAAGAATGAAATTAACCAAAAAATCCTATGTAACCCAGACATCTTGGAGTTCCTGAAGATATGAGAAGCATTGAGAATGAGAAGAAAATGGGAGAGGAAAGGCACTGAGAAAACAGTGCAATGACCCCAGAGTCCAGGGCCGGGTTGTTCAAAAGTTAGTTAACGCTAACCCACAATAACGAAAGTATTACTTTTTCTTGTATAAAAATGTTTCTCACTGCTTATGTTTTGTAAAGTTTGAAATTTTTTAAACTCAAAACAGAAGGACATACAATATAAAATGACAAACTTACCGAGAATTAACAAAACTGAAATCAAAATTCTCACTAATCCTGGGTTAGCTCGGGCTTTGAACAACCTGCCCAAGTGTGCTAACCGGTACATGTAGGCCAACACCTTACATGGCTCCCACTCTACCTTCATTATATATGTTAACTAACAGAGAGAGTATACTTCGCCTCTGGACCAGGGTTCAAAAAAAGTGCCATATGGTCATCTGGGACAAGTAGATTTTCCTTTTGGGCAAGTAACTTTTCATTCTCACTTGCCCAATGGACAAGGGATTGGGCAAGTCATCTGTCAACTAAATCATTAAAAGAGCAAACTAAGACTTGCCCAGGACAAGCAAAATTTGAGAGATACTTGTCCCAAGGGCAAGCTGGAATTCAGGTTTTTTCAAACCATGTGGACCTGTTGCTCAAAGGCTGTCTGATGCTATGCACAGTTAATTTAATCACTACCCAGGATGTACAGTGTACACATGAGTGTTAACTATCAAAACAAATTTTGTTTGGCTTATTTACCCTGTAGTGCATATTAATCCATAGTGTGGCATCAAATGTACAATCAGGGCCAGAATTTCTGCACCAAAACTTTTTGAACTGAACTTCTTCATAAGAAAAGCTTTCCTCTAGATGGTCAAACTAGGTCTAGGTAAATTCATCCTCACAGCCGGTCAATTTGCCAGGTGTACAGTGCGTAATGAAACCCCTGCTGATTTTATTCTGCTCTATTTAGCTGCATGTAGGTTCAGTGGAAGGGAGGTGTGGTGGCCTCATGGTTAGTGCACGCGACTGGATTGAGTGGTCCAGGTCCAAGCCCTGGCTGGGGACATTATGTTAAGTTCTTGGGCAAGTCACGTAACTCTCATGTTGCCTCTCTGCACCCAGGTGTATAAATGGGTACTGGTGAATTTAATGCTGGCAGTAACCTTGTGAAGGACTAGCATCCCATCCAGGGAAGATTAGAAATACTCCTCTAGAGTTGCTTCATGCTACAGAAACAGGGATAAGCACCGGCCTGATGGGCCACTTGGCTCATATGCAGACTTTACCCAGCAAGGATCAGTGTTGATGAAGCTGTCTTGTTTTAGTTTTTTGCCTCAGGGTTAGCTCAGAAAGGGGAAGATGATGAAGGATTTGATGGATTTTTAATTAACGACATCAAAAAGGAAATATCAAGATCAAGAAGACTGGTCAGTCAAATTAGTTACTGTTATTGAAGTCTTCCTTACTATCAGTATATAGTGTTATAAGTATCTTATTAATAATAATAATGATGATGATGATGATAATAGTAATAATAGTAATAATAATCATCATCATCATCATCATCATCAACTTTATTTACTGAGGGTAGCACACAAAAGTAATAACTGAAAAACCAGTGGCCCTCCGGCCTCGTATAAATATTTACAAAATAAAAAAGATGACGTGTTAAAAATTAACAAGGCACAAGGGCCATCATGGGAGAATTTTGGCCCTAGGTCTTCCAACTTGACAGTTTGTATGTTCATTATATTTTTGGTAGAGATGCAATTTCTGCAGAAAGCCTGGTGCAACAATTGGCTGTTGTGATAAAGGATGTCCCCAAACTTTTCACTACAAATGTGGAAGACAAAAAGGAGGCTTATTTCAGTTCTTTGATAGCTTCAAGTAAGTACAAGCTCTTGACTGTATCAACATGAAAATTCTCCTTACAATTACACCTCCATGCTACTGCATTTTGGTGAGAGGCGCAGTGGCCTCATGGTTAGTGCACTCGTCTCCGGATTGAGCAGTCCAGGTTTGAGCTCTGGCCAGGGGCATTCTGTTGTGTTCTTGGGCAAGACACTTTACTTTCACAGTGCCTCTCTCCACCCAGGTGTATAAATGGGTACCTGCGAATTCAATGCTACGGGGTAACCTTGTGATGGACTAGCATACCATCCAGTGGGGAGTAGAAATTCTGTAGTTTACTCTTAGATGGGCCACATGGCTCGTATGCAGACTTTTTACTACTGCTTTTCAAGTTAGATGACAATCATCATCAGATGAACATAAAAAGTTTTTGATAAACTGTGTCAGCTTGTAAAAATATAGACGTGTGCAGTCCCTGCAATTGAAGGCATTGTGTTTGAACAAATTTTATTGTTCTTGCAGTCTGCGGAGTTAAATGCAGACGTATATTTAGGAAGACTGATTATTTGAAGGATTTTTGACTCTAAGATTAATGTGGCTTATTAATTTTTGGGGGGACTATTAAATTATCAGAATTTTACAGTGTTTTTCCTGCCAAATGCCTTATCTTGGTCAGTGTGAAATTTGAGTGTACAGACCAATCTTGAACATGATTCCAATCAGATTGAGCATGCCAATTACTACACAATAACTGTCTAAATCAACGGCACATCTGCAAAGGCTTTTAAAAATCTTTGATCCTCAGTGATACATGTTTAACTTGTCGATAATTTTGAGGTGATGAGCATTGAAATACCTACCAGCAATTTTCACAGCTTACTCTGGTTTTAGTTATTGTCTCAAAAAGTGATTACTTAACTAGTTCTTTTCAGACAATAATGAGGACAAGAGTAAACTGTATGAATTGGTGGGAGGAATTTCAATGCGGTTACCTCAACGTTTTCCAAAAGTCACTTATGGTATACCTGTAACAAGGGCACTTTCAACGCAGTCAATTTAGAATGTTGCAAAATGCAAATAAAGGAGGTAAACATGGCAACCACTGACAGGTTTCCTCCCCCTGCTGATCTTTCAGTGGAGAAAAAGGAAGATAGAGAACTTACCTGAACATGTGACCTTCCAGGAACCAAGAGGCAGGTGGGCAGGGGGGGGGACCCACAGGCATAAAGCGGCCTAGCTACTCAAGGTAAAATCAGGAGTGGGGGCAAATCTATCTGGCAATGACTGAAATACACATGCATCCGGCAATCACCCACTGGCTGACAGCAATGATTTATTGATAATCTCATTTGATTTCATGAACATGTTTGAGTAAAATGTCGATGACACTAATAATTGTTAGATAAATCACTGTTGAGCGTTAACAGCCAGACAATGTTATGACAATGTTTCTTCCTCATCTCTGAAGTTAAACCAACAGCCAGCTGAACTAATGATTCTTTCCATGCATTATTGCAGTTCTTTTTGCCTGGTGCATCGTCCCACCCAGGGAGTAAAGTTGGAGTTAAATTCAAACCAAACTTGTCCAATCTGCTTCTGCAAAATAGAATGGAACAGTAAGACGCCAGTCAATGATATTCCACTTGTAACACCCTGCTGTAAAAAGACCTGGTTCCACAGCAGTTGCCTTCAGGTAACAAGGATTTCTTTTCTGAAGCACTATTTTCTCTTCACCTAGGTTGGAATTTTTGGTTTTTACATTCTTACAATATTAAGCATTTACAATATTGTGAAGGGTTGAATAAGTGTCTTCAATATTGTCAAGATTATATTAGTTACAGACATTTGTAAATGCTAGGACAACCTAAAGATTAATTTAAACAATTAGAATTATTGTAGTTATAATAATTAATTATACTTGTAAACTTGTGGTAATAATTATTATTAATGAGGATTTTTTTTGTTTGAAGCTTCCCATCCCTCTGGAAATTTAACATTCCTGGTTCATACTGTCCTTTAATTAACAATTTTGGCTCTTTCACACTCTGTCCCCCGCCCCCTCGGAATTTTCAATAACCCTCCTTGGGGTGGGTATGTGTATTTTCTGTAACCACACAATGTTTATTCAAAAGTCTGTTCAATTTATTTTATAATTACAGAAACATGCACAGTCAAGTGGCTTGTATTACTTCCGTTGTCCAATTTGTAAAAACATGGATGAATTTCAAGAGGAAATGAAGCGAATGGGCATCTTCATTCCAGAACAGTTGAGTGAAAGATGTGCATACAGTGGAATCCCAATTAAATTTCAAACCTCCCAAATACTCAAAGCAACTTTTGTTCCCCTTGCAAAAGTATTAGGGGTTAATTTACCCTCAATGTTTTGGACCTACGGATTTTTCGAAACAATTTCCGCTCCCCAAGGAGGTTTCAAAAAATTGAGATTCCAGTGTATTTTCAAATTGAAATCACTGAGTCAAGTGAGTAAGGGTAACACCCCTGAGGAATCATCTGTATCCTTCAGTTGCTTTCGGCATAAAAAACCAGTATACACTTTCTCTGTTTGGCTCAACTTGGCCTAAGCTCTGACTTAGATTTCTAATTGAAATAAAGTAGCACGAGGAAATCGTTATTAGAATTAGCGTGCGAACTTTCTTTGGGCTGTTTTCTAATATCCTGGAAATAGGTATTTTTTTTTACTGCATCACTGGTGTTCATTTGATGAATGTTTCATTAAACTTGTTTGCAGAGATGCCAGTTGGGAGAAAGGCGATGCATTTGCGGACCTTCATTTACAGTACAGTCGCTGTGATGCAAAGAGGTGCATCTGTCCAAATGGCAGGGAACATAGCGAAACTTCTGGGTATAGTTACTTGAATATTAATAATTGTGTGGTTGACTCAGGTTTTCTGCCAGGATTTGAAAAGTGGGCGTCCAAAATGTGCTATAGAGCCTGCTCAAATGAACAATTTATAAGGCAACATGAAAAATAAAACAATTTTCTTTAAAAAGTGGCCGTCCACAGGACGCTTGGACACCCATTTGGCTTAAGGCCTGGGCTGACTCTTAGAGCCTCTTCATATGAGCCAAGTAAACAGTACTGGACAACTTTGGTAGAGTTCCTTTGAATCAAAGCTTGGTCTGCCAGCTGGAAGTGAGGCCTCTGTAAACTGTAAGTTTTGGCCAATGTTTTCCTTGATCCTCTCATTCAAAGGGAGGCACGGTGGCGTCAAGGTTAGTGCACTCGCCTCAGGACCGAGCGGTACGGGTTCGAGTCCTGGCTGGGGACATCGTGTTGTATTCTTGGGCAAGACACTTTACTCTCACAAGTGCCTCTCTCCACCCAGGTATAAAAATGGGTATGGGGCAAATTTATTGCTTTGGGTAACCCTGAGATGGACTAGCATCCCATCCAGGAGGGAGTAGAAATACTCTTAGTCACTTCGTGCTATTGACCCTTTGAATACCAATTACGCATATATACGTAATTAATGGTCACGCTCTTTGTACCACTTGTGACGACATCAATTTAAATGTCATCAGATATTCTTGATAAGTAGATAGTAGTACTAGGCTAGGCCTTTCCCTACAATGGTCAGGTTTAGATCTCGACGACATTCCGACGTCGCAAATCGAAAAACAACGTTATCAGTTTTGGTGCAAAAACGGTGGTAAAATGGTCCACTACGCCTATGATTGATCAAGGTCCATTTCTAGGCTTCGCCAGTAATTAACATCCAACTTTTCGCGGCAGCCAGAAAGAACATGCAACGCAAAAGGTAGCCAGAGTGAAAGGGCCGAGAAAAAAGAGAAAGGAAAGGGGCAACAAACAAAATTTAGAACGGGTAATGGCCAAAAAAACTTTAATAAGTCCAAATTTTGGCTTATGCGCATGCCCAGAATTGAAATATTGTTCAATTTTGTACTTAATCCTCGAAAAATCTCTCCTTTTGGTAATAAAAGCTCGCTTAGCAAAACTTAGGCTTATTTAGCATCATGGCGGCCAAAAAACCTGACTAAACGGTTAAAAACGGTATTTTTTTTGGCGAAATTTGGCATTCAAAGGGTTAAAACTGGAGATAAGCGCTGGCCTGATGGGCCACTTGGCTCGTATACAGACTTTAACTTTTTCTTGTTTCAGAGAATGGCATATACGTTTATGTGACATCTGTGGCCAGGCTGGAACACACGTGAAATGCCAACACTGGAGGAGATCACCAGGAGAGTGGTACTGTGACGTATGTGGAGACATTAATCCCTTCTCCTGTACCCGACAGAGAAAGATCGGTGATCGCTCGATGGATCTTTCCTGCATTGATGATGATGACGAGAGCTCGTCGGCTGAGGACCTTGATGTCAATGTGTGTTCTGTGTCCGATGATGAAATTTCTTATGAGACAGTCAGGGACTGCGATGCTGTTGGTACAAGACACACCCTTAGGGGTGAGGGCAGTGTTGAGAAGCTTGTTAAAGAGGGGGCATCACCCATGAGGAAACGTCGCCGACTTTCCCTGGAGTGCACTGGTGGTAAATCTCCAAGTTCCGGCAGTAACAAAGAAGGCCACTCAAAAACATCACTAGATACTCCAACCTGTAGTGGTACTCAATTTAAAGATATGACACCTCAGTTGCTATTTGCCATATCTGACACTATTTTTAGTGGAGTTGCAGTTACAAGTCAAGGGTCTGGTGACATAAAGCAATGGACACAGACAAGTACAAGTTCGAAGGAAAGTGAAACAATTTCCATAGACTCGGATACAGCATCAGAAGCCAGCGTAGAGCTGATTAAGACCGAGAGAAAACCAGAGCTGCTGGACTTGAAAAGAAGACCCATTGCTAAACGTGAGAAAAAGATCAAATCAGAAAACTATACCAGCTCTGAAACGTCAGTTAGTGTGGCAAGTAGTGAAAGCCCTAGCGAACGAAAACAAGGTCTATCTACGACAACAGAAAAGAGAGGCATAGATGTTGTAGAGGCAGATTCAAGTGCTTTTTCTGTCAAGGTCGAAGAAGGTACAGAGCCAGGATCAGAAGTCAATTTGCCAGTTTCAGACAGCAAGCAAAATGGTGTTGACAGTGATGACGATTCCTGCATTATTACGAACGTCGTGAAGAAGCCCTGTCCTGTTGGCAATGACAAGTTTGGTATGAAGTGTTTCCTTGAATGCTGCAATCCGAAAATTTACTGTGATTTCCATCAGTTTTCAACGAGCGCTAAGACCAGGGATTTACAAATCACAACCGTCAGTAGCACAAGTGGTACTATTTGTGATCATTTTAAAGAGAAATCTAGTCTAGCCATGGAACAAAATTCCCTCTCTGATCAAGCATCCGCAGGGTCGAATAAGGAGGAGAAAGCGCGGGTATGTTCCGTTGGGACCAACACTTTGCCTTTTAAACCATCTTCCAGAAGAGAAAAACAACTGTCAACCACGGAGACAACAACTACGCAAAGCCTTTTTCCAAAAGGCAAGACACCAGTTTCTTCGTCTGATCCGAACAAAAAACTTAGCTTGCGCAGCAAGAAGCCTGGCAATTACCTGGAGAGGTCAGTGAGAGAGTTCCGTTCTCTTCGTGAAAATAACGTGGCTGTCACTCACAACTGTTTTAGGTAATGATGGTTAGAAGTGTAGTTAGAAGAATATCCTAATATACTAGTATCATTTCCGAGTTACCTTGTGCCGTTGTTTCAAAACTAGTCTTCATGCAAAATCTTTCATAAGAAAATGAGGTTGATTTGCATGAAAAAGAAAACCTGTACGGGCTACACATTTTCATATGACTGGTTTGGCACGAAGCCTCGTTTTGACACAGGTAAAAGGCAACTCGGAAGTGGCCTATTGTCAAAAACGTTCACTCATTCCTTCCACCTTGTGTTCTTACTGTGTAAGCAACTTCGGCAGCTGGCTGTGAAANGTTTCCGTCGGGACCTATTATGTACTCTTGCTTTACTGGACCGCCAAAACCGTCTGCAAAACAAAAAAGTGATAAGATTATATTCATCTGAAATCTAATAATCGAGCCCTGTTTGTTCAAGGATAACGCTATGCACAGGATAAATAAATAGTGAAGTTTGTTTTGTTAGTACTATACGTCCACTGAATGGCAATTTATTTCATGGATATCGTTATTCACCCTTTGAACAACTGGAAATAGATTATTGAAGTTGATGAATACATGTAGATCATTTCTGAGTTCGCTTATGCCTCTGTTTCAAAACGAGTCTCCGTGCAGAACGTTTCATATGAAAATGAGGTTGATTTGCATGAAAATGAAGAAATAGACAAACGGAATTGCTGAAAAAATAGTCACGTGTGTGAAAGTTAAAAATAACGCAAGCTCAACGAGGTTTCGGCCTCGGGAATAATTTTCCGCGTGATACACATCTCTTATATAGCCCTACCTTCCGTTCACTGTACTTCTAACCACGCTGCACTTCAACTGGACTAGCCCCAGTCCACTTCCCCATTTCTGCCTAATTCGTATTCAGTCAAATGTCAAAAGAGACGCGAGACAAAAGAAATAACCAAAAAAGAAAAACAAAAAAACTGTCGAGGTGGCGGGCAAGATGGGGTTATTTCGCTCGCTCGGAATTGCCAGTTGTGCCACGCAGGTAATGATATTTTTGTGCCATGTATTAAACAGCACCAAGCTTATTCAGTCAAGGCGGCTGGATACTAGACTCGTTCATGTTATGGACCAATTTCTTTATTTACAGACCATTCAGTCGCGGTCTATATGCAACCATATTGACCTCACACTTGGTCTATAACCCACATATCATACCTGGTGCCGGTTTCACCTTCGTGATGCTAAAAGTAGGGAGTGGTAGCCCGTGGCCGTGGCATTCAAACTGTGTCTGTTGGTTTTCGGTAGCGTTTGTCGGATTTGGTCCAAAAGATGAGATTATCGGTGGTCCTAAATGTGGAATGAAAATGAAAAAAAAAAAAAANTTAGTGAGCGAATCGACACCTATCAAACTGATCAGATGACTTGTGTTTAGGAAAAAAAGACGTAACAATTTAATCTACAGATAAGTCCGAATTGAGAAATCGTGCATTTGTTGTCACATCTGTGACACAAATTAAACATTTATCATCTTACTATTTTTGAAAAATCGTTAAAAGAATGCGAGAAAAATGGACCTGAGGCTATATAATGAAGACGTCGGTTAGTGTTATAGTATTTTTGTTTGTTTCGTTTGTGTGTGATAACCCTTGTGTCAGTGATTCCAGGCAATAGCATACTATGACAGGCATAATTTCTCCACACTTCTCCTCCTCTAGCGCTACGTGGTGTATTGTGGGCATGTGTGACATGTTCGAGTTCACAAACGGCCTTTACTAATCGGCCAACCACAACAGCAATAACATACGAAAAGACAGCTTGACCTCACATAAGAGGACATTTTTCGCAATAACTTACTTTTGCATCGAAAGCTTAAAAAAGTTAAATAAAAATTGTGGATTGTTTTTAATAAATTTTATTTTGTAACATGTAAAATTTACCTCTCAGCTCAAATCAATTTGAACCATTTTCATCAGTAATGGGCAACTCTGCCCCGTCGACTCGCAGGAAGGGGTTATTTTCAGGCCACAAGCTAGTGACTCGTCTCACGTCATGATGAAAAAGTACCTAGCCGAGTTTGTTTTTCTATTTTATGGTAATATATCATGTTTACCTCCACAGTCAGAAACTGAGGTTGATCCTGAACCGTGAGTGGTGGTTCCATTAGGGCACTTTTCACATCCTTTCTGGCCGGTTTGGTTCTGGTAAGTGTTGAGTGGGCATGGCTCACAAGGCTCGAGATTGGCAGGCAAGTCAAACCCAGAGTTGGAAAACTGACCGCGAAAGCATTGAGCTAAACACAGTAGAAATAAGGAGATAAAACGATTTAGTGAGTTAAACGTAATTTTTTGCATTACACCGAAATCAAATCCAATAATAGTGTATATATGATTTGCTACCGTTTTTTAACACGCAGCCGAACCTCCCGTAAGCGTACTATCCAGGCGTAATGCGATGTTACAAAACCTTATTATCCAATTTGTGCTCTATTAACTGTCAAACTGTCGCTTACGATAGGTTAAAAGAATTAGAAAATTTCAAACTTGAAGCTCTAAAAGTGGTCGCGGTCGCTTACGAGGGGTGGACACTTACAAGAGGTTCAAATGCAGTGATTTGACTTGGAACCTTCTTGTATTTTGGAAAACTGGTCGCGCTGAGGAGAGGTGGTCGCTTACAACAGGTGGTCGCAACCGGAGGTTTGACTGTTTATTCATCCACCTATTTTGGCGCGGTTGGTCTTCAAACGGTCAGAATAAAAATCTCACATACTTCAGTAGATTTGATCTTTATCTATTTATCTAACAGGATTCAATGCTGTTAAGTAGTTGGGATAGTTTTACGAATCTTTTCTTTATACTTAAACGCATTATTCTACTTAAAGCACTTTATATTTACAATTAAAGATGATTTCATCAACTGAAAATGAAGTTTGGCTTACTAAATTGATCGAGTCACACAAACAGAGAGACAGACATAGAGACCAACAGAGAGACAGACACAAGATTTTCCTCGCTTTACTGACCTGCCACGGAGTTTTACTATTTGCTATTTGTCTTTTACCGACTTTGTTTTAATACATAGTAATCATCAAATGCCAAAACAACTGACAATAAATAAATAAATAATAAATAAATAAATAAATAAAACTAAAAAAAAAATTAACAGATTTGAATTACCAGTGCACGTTTTGGAGCCTTCTACAAGAGTTGAGGTGTTCGTCGGGCATGCATCACATTGCAAGGAACCTTCCTGTTTGCTTACGAACCCAATTTGACAAGGCTTGCATGTCTTCGAAGGAGTGTCGTAGTAGAGACCCATTGGACATTTCACTACCAGTAAAATATTGTTAAACGTGGATAAAGTGAAAGAACGAAAGAACAAAATAATACAAATGAACGAACGAATGATTAATTGAATGAATGAATGAATGAATGAACGAGCGTGCCAACGTTTGAACGTACGAACGTTAACTTCCGAACGTCCGACCGTACGATCGTAGGAACTTACGAACTTACGCACATACGAATAATTGAACGTACGAACGATTGAACGAACGAACACACAAACCAATGAACGCACGGACATACGAACCAACGAATGAATGAATCAATAAATCAACAAATTAGTGATTTTTGTATGGATGGATAAAAAGACGAAAGAGCGAAAGGTAAATAAAAATAGGAAAGGAATGGATGAAGGAGGGCAGCCAGGTAGGTAGATAAAATACTTGACGATGTTAAATACAAATTTACATCCAAATCAAATATGAGAGTAAAAATTTATTATGTCGATCGAGGATCAGAAAATAGGAAAGAACGCTGACTTTTTGTTTCCTCAACTTTCTTTCCCTTAAAATGAAATATATACGGGGCAAGTATTTCATTGTTAGCAAAATTTGCAAATCAACACTCACCGCAAACATTTTCCGCTGTTACTCCATTGAGATCACCTTGTTTTACATATCCAGAAGGACACGAACCATCGCCTGATGGATCGACGAAATCTGCGTTGAAAAGTAAACTGGCTTATGTTCCACAATCCCATGTATATGTCGAGGTATAACATTTCCAAAGAGAAGAGCGCTCGCGCATTAGGCAAATGGCGCACACTGCGATTTCGTTTCTCGAGTCTTTGTTCCTTACTGCGTAAGCTTAACAAAACGAGCGACTCTCCAGATTTCCGTTACAGGCTCGATTTTGATTGGTTTAAAAACAATAAAAATAGGCGGAAGTAGGACGCCGGAATCTGGATTGAGCCAAATGTTCGTCAGTTAGGCATGCACAATTCAACCGAAAGTCCTATATTTTTAGATCTCAAATCGGATCTTTCCAGTAGGGTCGCTCGTTTCCCGACCGCTGGTTAAGGGCAAACAATACTCTGNTTTACTGTAAAAAGTTTGCAACGAACCGATGCGCGATACGCGAAAATGGGTATTTAATTTAGAGCGCGGAAAAGCGGCCGTATGACTCGAATGAACACAAATGAAAACAACGTGATATATATACCAAAGGCCGGCTAATGAAGCATTGTGACAACGTCTCACCATATCATAACACCTCAGGGACGAAGTTACACAACCCGTGATAAATACATTTATCTTGATATTCTCTTGGTTAGATCTGTCCACGCTTGAAATTAATCCCTAAGTGTTTCTCGAACAGATCGATTTCCAATACAAATTTAGTAAATTTTGTGCACGTTTTAGCGATATTCCCAGATCAGAAAATAACGCTTAAAATTGATTATGTCAATTAACGTGAATTCTTAATCATGAATAATTTTCCCTAAGATTGCAATAAATGTACATAAATATGAAAATCCAAAGAGTGTAAATGAGCTATTAAAACAGGTACATCATGAGAACAGAATTACACACTTACTTTTAAGATGAACTGTAAAAGCGCAGGTTCCTTTGTTGTTTCTGTCATCGACAGCTGTGTAATGAACGTTGGTGGAACCAATATCAAACGTGTCACCTGGCTTGCGTCCCGTTAGGTCAACTGATTTGACACCCACGTTGTCAGTGAAGGTTGGTGGGGTCCAAGTTATAGCTTTGCTGGTACTGGTCGTTGTTTCGTAAATGGTCAAAGGGCAGTCAGAGGTTTTCGGAGCCTCTTTGTCTGATCAAAATAAAACGGAAAATAACATACAAGAAGCTAAGAACTGCCTATTTTAAAGCTCAAGGTTAAAATAAAGAATTCGTAATCTCATGAGTATGTATCGTATGATGTAACATAACGAAATATGATTCTTAGCCTCGTGACCTCTCAGTCCTAATTTCTTTTCAGGATTTGAAGGGATGTCTTTTGTTTCATTTGTTAAGATATAGTTGCACACTCATATGAATAAAGAGAGACGCCCGTAAATTACTCTAGCCTTTCCGCTTTTACTTCAAAAGTTATTTGAATTTGGCTGAAGTTGAAGGTCACGACTACTTAATCTTACATTTCGACGTGCCGGTTGAATTTCNGTTAAGGTATATGAAAAGGCAGGGGAATCTATCGTTTAGGTGTTTAAAGGGGCCTTTAATTAAAACATTTCAAACAAATGCACCTTGTGGCTGTATCTGGTAATGCTTGATGTTCTCCCGTAAAATTGTTCATTAACTTCATTTCAAGGGTTTAGAAAGAGGATGCAGTGTTGTTAAGTAGGAATATGAAAGGGGTAACTTTTCTCAGTTCAAGGTATACGAAAGGGCACCTTTTCCGTGAAAAAGGGTAAGGGGTTGGACTTCAGGGCAGAGCTTCCCCCGTATAAAACTTTGAAGAGTACCCCTTCCCCGGGAACCCATGCCACTGTTACATTGACAATCTAATCTAACCTACCCCCTTGAAAGATATTATCGCATATTATTGGAGATGGGATAAAGAGTTATAGTTTTGGGTTAGGGACGCGAGGAAGGCTTATAAACGAAGGTTTACGTTTTGTGCATGTTGGCTCCTCTTGACTATCCCACTGGCCACTACTGAGGCAGGTCTTTGATAATACACCGGATATATCGTAGCCACTGTTACAGGCATAATAGCATTTTCCCTCAAAAACATTTCCTGTCGATGTGCAACTTGACGGGGTGATTTTACCATTTGTAGGAGAAACCAGCGCTGGACAGCTTACTCCTATTTAGTGGAAATAAAATCGCTTAAAATGTGTAGACATTTATAGTGATAATATTCTTATTTTGGTAATCACATCTTATGCCTGATCTTGTATACAGTGTGTTGGTATTTTTTAATTCTTTTTCAGTGCCGGCAACTTACTGACTGACTGACGTGCTATCTAGAAATCTTGCTGATTATTGGCGGCCAAAACCTATAAAAGATTCCTTATCGTATCTAAACAAATATGACAATTTGCGGTGAAATAGCAATAGTACGTTTGTCACTCTCTGAATTCCTTTGTGTCTTGGTAGATGACCGTGTTTTTAATAGAGAAAACCTATATTTCCGCCCTGCCTTATGAAGATTTAAAGATTCGTTTAGGGTATATGTCCCATGGACTGTTAACTATGCGCAAACATATCACAGGCACTAAGCACATAGTCCAGTGGCGGATCTAGGGGAGGGCACCCCCCTTATTTTGGGTAAAAACAATCGCAGAGGGAAGAAAAGCCGGTAGAGCAAGCAAAACAAAAAACAAAAACAAAAACAAAAACAAAAGTCAAAAAACAACAACAACAACAACAACAAAAAAACACCCTCCTCCCCGCCCCCCATTAACTCAAGGTCAGGATCCGTCACTGCATACTGAACGAAGTGAAGAAAGTGAAGCCCTACTTACGTGTACAGCTTATTATAGAAGCATTCCAGCTTCCGCTAGGCAAGCAAAGTAAAGTATCTTCATTACCAGATAGCTCAAACCCTGCTTTGCAGCTGAATTTACATAAATCACCAACAACACTGGTCTGACTTTGAAGGCATGAAGAGGGAGAAACACTAGTTCCTGTCGACTCAATGAGTGCGCTGCAAGTCTTAGCTGAAACGAAACGTAAGGGGAATAGCGTAATAGTTACATATATTACTTCATTCGATTCTTAACTAAGTGGAAAAACACTAAGTGAATTTGAACTGGGAACCAAAATGCAAAGCTCCCCTTCCGCTTTACCCAAACAGGACCAGAGATCTTTTTTATTGCGTAACATGATTTTCCGGACTAAATATTTTATTTTAATCGCTCTCGTGGATTTTCTTTGGAAACCCAATTCGTAGAAGGTACCCTACCTTTACATTTGTAAATTTCACCAGCTATTGGGAGATTTCCGTCTTTACACTTGCATTCGTAGCCCGGATTAAGGTTGTTGCAGTCAGTGGTTTTTGGGTCACACAGAGAAGAACCATCGGCACATTCGTCGATGTCTGCAGAAGAAAATAAGTATTCAATAAACAAAACGACTCATACAAGAGATGGATGATCTCTTGTTGTCAGCTTAATAAGCTGCCATGCTTCAAGCTTCCAAAGCTGAAATGCGAGAAAGTGATAAGTTTTGTGATGTGTCACTTCTGAAATACACGAAGAAAGCAATAAAAGGCCGTAAAAACATTGTCTTTATCTTCTAACACAAGAGATGTCGAATTTTGTAATTGGAAGTAAACTGGCAAACAACAACGTGATTCAGGAGATGTGGTAAACTTTTGAGAGAACAAGCTGGCTTGTCAAACTCTTTGCAAGCGCAGTGTCTTATTACCTAGATAAGATGGTTTAAAGACCAAAATGAAGCAACGGATTCTAAACTGACCGAGATGATGATTTAGCCCATTACCGTCCTGGCGCGGCCGCCATGCATCTGTGCCTTGTCCGTTCAAAGTTAGTCTCTCTCGTTTTCTTATTTTTTCCTGCATTTTTNTGTAAAATTTGATTTTCGTAAAACAGTGCTCAATACATCAGAGTAGAGCGAAGTATATAATGTGGGAGGAAAAACACAAATAAACTACAAGTTTAGTTTATTTGGGATGAACTTGTAGTTTATTTGTGTTTTTCCTCCCACATTATATACTTCGCTCTACTTTGATGTATTGAGCACTGTTCTACGAAAATCAAATTTTACACTTTATATATATATATAAATAAACAAACAAAAAAGTCGAGAAAAAACAAAACAAAACAAAACAAAACAAAACAAAAAGACAAAAAACAAAAAACAAACAAACGCCGATAAATAATGGCTGGGGTTACATGAACACCGTCAACTAGGATTTTCTCGGGTTAGTCTTGAGTTAATTATAAGAACGTCAGACTTTACATTAGTTATCGTTTGCTGTGTAGTATGAGGTCGCACCAAAGCAAGTAACTTCATCAATTTCTGGAAAGTATTTGAATGACGTCAGACTTAGAAGTAGTTGATGACAACCCCAATTTGGCCGTAGAAGGCTATATAATCAATAGCCACCATTTGGCATGAACATATGCATGGATATTTGTCCGCGGACATTATCTGTTCCGAGAAGCAAACAGATTATATCCAAGGACAAATGGAGGCTATGGTGTTCTTTATCCTTCAAATATTTTTCGCAACACGCGCGGTTTTTGAAAATTGGGGAACATCACTCGGGTGTTCCTCAGCAAAAACTGGGGAATATTCAGTCACAAGACGCAATTAGACCTATCGCGCACGAGCGATAATGTTTGATGGATTATAAGAATGATTATGACTTGTACACTTTAGTGAAAATCACGTGTCAATTATGCTTTCATGTAATTTCATTAAAAGGATGTCACTTCATGTAAATGATGTTACATTTCGAAATGTCACTTCATGTAAAGGATGCAAAGGATGCCACTTTTCAAAATGTTCATCATCTTGGATCAATTTCAGTTTAGAAATGTCAAACCAAAACAAAAATGTATTCGAAAAATAAGAAAAAATTCCCAGATGCAAGAAACGTAATCTTACGATATAGATCTCTTTTCCTTTTGAAGACATATTCAGGGATAGTGATTTATACGAAAATATGACTGTCCTATGGCAAGTAGTTTGCTTAATTAAATTAAGTCGAAACGAACACTATTGCCACATAAGCGTTAATTTTGAGATCAATGCGTACCTTTACACTTGAACTGGGTGTCTTGTTCATATCCAGGTTTACAATTGCATGAATAACTTCCAGGTGAATTAGAACAGGTAGTGGAGTATTGATCACATTGGTGAGTGTTTGTGCTGCATTCGTCGATATCTATCAATCACAGTTAACAGTAAAAGTAATTGTTCCCTGAGTCTAAAACTTTTAATTAAGTCTTTCAAGCTCAGACAAGGATTTTGCTGTCTTAGCAAGTCTTGGGTCTTACCGTTTGGAGCCCCTATCACACCTAACTAAAGGTTGTAAACACTGAAATGTCACGTCATACTTGTGCTAGTAACTACACAATCAAGGATGCAGTGTAATTAACAACCCCTCAGTCTGTGTAAATATCTATAATTTGGTCAGAAAGATTTTAATCAAGATAATCTTCAAAAGACCCTTTACGTCCCTTTCCTTTTAAAAAATCCTTAGCCCCTTCAATGGCATCTTTCATGGTTTTCAGCTTCACTCCCTTTGCGTGCTCGTATGTCAAGGCATCATTAAAAGACTCTGCATTGAACATAGAGTAGAACACAGCCTTGCGTTCAGCAGTGAGCGCCTCTGTTGGGAAACGAGCAATTAGTTTAGCAAGCTTGATAGCCTCTTCAACTGCTTTTCCCTTAGGAACAATTCTGTTCACTAAGCCCATGCTATAAGCTTCTTTAGCATCCACTGCTCGGCCTGTCATTATCAGGTCTAATGCACGTGATAGGCCTACAATGTATGGCAACCTTACAGTACCGCCATCCAGAAGAGGAACACCTGAAGTTAAATGAATTATGATGATGATGATGATGATGATGATGATATTTTTATAATTTATAATATCATTTATATAAAATACACCATTTTAGATATTAATTGTTAACACTCAGATATTTTACATGTTGCTTAAAATTTGTCAGAAATGAAGTAAATGGTACAAGGAAAACTATGATGTCTGCACAGGTATTGTCTGTATACCAGTGTACTAAAGATTTATTATAGACAACTGTTATAAGACTAAACAACAGTGTAACACACTCTTGTATATATGTTCCATGTTATTTTGACCTTAGATAGTCAGACGACTCAATTAATTATGCATGTTTTGCCTAGTTGTTATATAGTCCTAACAGTTTTTCAAATATTCTGTAACTGACGATGATGTTTGCAACATCAAAACATGTCTTATAAATTAAAAAATGTCGTAATCTTCTTAAAAATGAAATAACGATTTTTATTACATGGCAAGGTAGACTTGAGGTAAATCCAAGCTTAACCTGTTAATTGCTTCTTAGAAAAGGAGCAGAGCAATTGATAAGCTACTCACTAACCTAACTAACTTGAGCCGCACTGGGAACATGGGCCCTCGATCATTTTTGTACAGACCTCGGGCCAATATTCCCCAGTACAACCCTCATGTTTGGTTAGTAAGACTGGTTATTATTACATGGCTAGCTCAATGGGAAGGAAAGATGAACCTAATCCTGGTCTGCAATTGGCTACCGAGCAGACAGGCTGGTGTGTCTTTCCCACGTTTCCTTCCTTCAAGAAAATGATGTTCTTTATGCCATATAACAACTCTCTTATTTAATCACAAGCTTGTTTGGTCAAGATGGCTGAACACTGAAATGTCACTCGGGAGGTTAGGGAGGGGTGGGGAGAACTCCCAGGAGAAAAGGTCGGAAATGCTCATCAGAAAAATGCTCATCAGAGAAATGCTCCCGGTGCAACCCTAAAGGATACCTTGACCACTAAAAATATTTTGTCCTGAACATCCTAAGGGAGACAAAGAGTATCCCCAACCTTTCCACATGGAAGTTCCCCTCCCTGGAATGACACCAGTACTTTACCAAATCTCCTGTTAAATATTCCCATAACTGTATCTTCTGCAACAACCCTGAGGTCACACATCAAAGCTAACTCCATTCCTCCTGCAACTGCATATCCTTCAATGGCACCAATCACTGGTTTACTGAGCTTAAGTCGAGATGGGCCCTACAAAGAACAACAACAACAAAAAACTATGCAAAAATGTATTAAATTTATTATGCAGTTCCTTTTAGCTACATGTATTTTGAATTTGTAGATAGACATACACAGTGACTCACAACAACATTTGGCGTAAAGGTGGTCACAAGAAAATATTTGCTGGCAAGACAGATGACTTTCATCGCTGGGTACCAGTTAATTTAATGCTGGGGGTAACCGTGCGATGGACTAGCATCCCATCCAGGGGGGGGGAGTAGAAATATTCCTAGTTGCTTCATACTACAGAAACCGGGATAAGCTCCGCCCTGGTGGGCTCCTTGGCTCATATGCAGACTTAACATTAAACACAATAGCCTCTACTTGGTGCCACAATATGCACGGATGTTTGTTCTTGGACATTATCTGTTCCTTAAAGCTCACAATTTTCCTCGAGCTACTCTCTTGGAAAACTGTTTGCTTCTCGGAACAGATAATGCCCACAGACAAGTATCCGAGCACATTTTTGTACCAATTGGAGGCTATTGTTTATATATCTTGAAATTACCTGTGACAAATGGGTCAATCAAATGTACCTGAAATAATTCGATTTTCTGTAGATTACTACATGTAGTGCGCATGTTGTACAGAGCGACTTGCACCTTTGCAACCTGAATGCCCACAAATTACCAAAAAATAGACAAATGAAGTTATTTTTCAGTCACAACACTGGAAAAGTTAAGAGTAGCCTGATTGCTTAAATGGATTTTCGCGCGAAGTCGACCGAACAAGCTCATTAGACGCGCTAATCGTCGACGTGATATTTATACAAGGTTATTTATTCTTGCTGCAGGAGTTTACTGGGAACACACAAATTGCAGTACATCGTGCACGAGATCACGAGATGGCGAAATAAACAACCGATTTTTACCAGAAAACAGAGGAATAAGAGCCAAGCAATCAATCGACACTAGTTGGTTTCAAGCTTCCCGCCGAGCCAACATGGCACGTTCGTACATATGATTATGCAAAGCTCGTGCACACGATCACGCTATGGCGATCACGTAAACATTATAAGAACACAGCCATAACCAACTGGAAATACCAAAGCGAAAGCATTTTTCATAATAAAGAAATCCTTCTGTGAGTAAAACTTAATTTAATTTCGAGCAAACACTTGTTTTTCTTGTTTTATTTCCAAGGTAAACAACGCAAAATATCTCACCATGGGTGCATCTCCTTCCCCAGGTGGTGCGATTGATTTAAGATACTCATCTGGGCCCCTTTGAGATAATTCTTCCAAGTCATATCCAGCACAAAACGTATCTCCTTTCCCGTATAACACGGCCACCGCGCATTCATCGTCGATCTCGAAATTGCGAAACGCTTCTGCAAGTAGCTCCGCGGTTTTTGCATTGACCGCGTTGCGCTTCTCTGGCCGTGCGATCGAAACGAAAAATATTTTGCCATCTTGATCAGTCTCGACCAAAGTGCTGTTCAATCTTCTGGAAGAGGCTACCAGAGAAGGAATCTTGACAGCCTGTGGTCGAATTCGACGTGCAAAAAGAGAAAGCGCCATTTTGCAACAAAGATCAGCCCCTCTTTAGACCCTCAAAATACTTGGCCCAAACCTGGGACGAGTAAGTTTCTAAGAGCAACTGTTATCCAATCAGATTGTTCGATCATGAGTCTTCGAGAAAACATGGCGACGTCGTCTCAGTTACCTGGCCCCATTTCACTTCCAACTAGAAGAACTGTTCAGAAACAACTTTATCTTTCTAAGAACGAATGCGAATGAGATGAACAAATGACGGGCCCTAAAGAAGGAAAATCGGACGAGTTTTCCTCGGGGGAAGACGAGGAATCTTTGAGGGAGCTGGTAAGCTTTCAACGTGCACGCGAAATTTTGTATAAATTTTCCCAGATGTTTTGTCTGTGGTCAAGTTCACTGTGGGACCTTGTTGTAATGCTTGAGTGGCTTTTGTGATCGTTTTTGCTGTGGGTTCCCTTGTGTTCCTATCATGTTATGGCCGATTGAAAGATTAATGAACAGTAAATATTATTGACAACGCATTAAAAATTAACTTGTAAAGATCAACAGCAGCACATATAATTTTGAGCTTATATTTTAACCTTCAGCTGCACAATGTTTACAATACGTTTTCAGTGATCTAATAAAGAAAATATGAACTGTTCTCTTTTCTAATAATGCTCAGTGCTGGAGTGTACAGCGTACATTATGACTGAAGTTGTTCTCCTTAAAAAATCACTAAGGGTCATATAGTTTCTCTTTATTTGAGGTCATGACTAGCTGCAGTCAAACCTCTATAAGACGGCCACCTTGGGGAGGAAGTGGCTGTTGTGGAGAGGTGGTCGTTATGGGGAGGTAGGAGTGTAATATGACACCTGTCATTTTTCAGGGAGTGTAACATTTTTGTCTTAAAAAAATGCTTATGTAGCATATACATATAAGTATGTAACACGATCAAAATATATCAATAAACGGTAGCTGCC